GAAAGTGACCATAAATCTGGTATTGGTGATATTGAAAATAATTAGTAGATTAAATATAACTACAGAAGAGAGAGGTTGTAAGGAAAAAGAACCCAGTGAAATACTTTAGATCTCAAAATGAAAACGCATTTTCTGTTTAGTTATTGCAGGTACTTCATAGCTGTTCTGCGAGCTTTCCACAGGCTGGGAGGCAGAGATTATCTGAATATGCTCAGGAAGTTCCCGTGATTCTACAAGTCACTTGATAGTTAAAGCCTCCCAAAGCCCCAGGGCAATGTAAACCGGGCCCATTCAGGAGGATGGCAAAAGTTTTGCAGTGGTCAATTGATGTTGAACTGGCTATGGAACTTTTTTTTTTTTCTTTAGAGAGAGGGAAGAGAGAAAGAGAGAATTTTTTTTTTAATATTTATTTTTAGTTCTTGGGCAGACACAACATCTTTGTTTGTACGGGGTGCTGAGGATCCGCGGAGCGCGCTATCGCTTGAGCCACATCCCCAGCCCCCTGGCTATGGAACTTGTGGTGGACAGAGTCCCTGTGCTTGATAATTAATAGAGAAATCCTATATTTCAAACTTCTACACCAGGTATTAACCAAAGCATCTTTTACCTGATAACATTTATACGAGTTAATTCTAATCATCAGAATTAAATATACTAAGCATAAGTAAACATATAGCTCAGTGAAGTATAAAGAAGCCTTCACTATGCTCACACACATGATAATCTACTCAGCTTTTCACAAAGGCAGTTGAGGATCTCCTTATTTTGAAGTGTGTATTTAATTCATTTGTTTGGGAATAACCATTTTGAGTCATCTTTGGCAGATCAATTTCTTGAGCTGTACCCATAAAGGACTTATATGATCCACAGCCTTTGTCTTATGTTGCCTGGTGAAACCTTCCCATGGTTATATGTACACACCCAGGGTTCCTTGAGTGGCCCTGCTGCCTTACAGCCCCAAGATGCCCTTACAAGTCCACCCCACTCAGACTCATCAGTTCAGGAGTCACCTCAGGAAACTTCCCCTCACGCCCCTCTTCTGCAAACCACCACACCACCCTGAAAACAGTGGGCTTGTCGCTGACACTGGAATTGAACTCAGGGGGAGTATACACCAGGGCTTTTTTGTTTTTGGCTGTTTTGTTTTTGCTAAAAAACCATGGAAATGACTCTGTTCCTTGGAGGGGTAACTAAAATGTGGCAATTTTTGGTGTCATTTAAGTAACTTATAAGGAAAGAAATGCAAATTTGTATCTGCTAATGGTCCTGAAAGGATCACTCTGTTAAAGCCCTTCATATCCACTCACCCCAGTTTATAACCAGACAACACTGTATGAGAACCTCAAGGCAGCTGTTTTAGTCTCAAGTCCTTTATAACTGATTTTACATATCTACTTAATTGCTCAACCAAAGTAACCCCAAAGCTGATTTCTTTTTGTACTTGACTATTCTGATTCTTTGTGCTATCTTAAAATCTTTAGATTAGTCATTTTTCCATGTGTAAACACTTTTTGACTTCTGGCCTTTATCAGTAATTAGAATTAAAATTCAGCATATAAAATAAGAGCCAGGGATTAAAAATTTGGGGGCCAAGAACTCTACTTCATAGGGCTTGTGATTCCCTTGGACATCGGTAACAAAATTTTATTTCTGAATATATGTGTTTGGGGGAACCGGGTACTTACCTTTCCTTTTGATTTTCACAGGGCTCCATGAATCCCTATGGTAGTCTCTTGGGAAGTTTGCCTTAAATAAGTAAAAGCTTAACTTAAGGTCAAAATGAAGTTTAAAACTGGGCATGGTGATGCATGCGTATGATCCCAGCTAGTCAGCAGGCTAAGGCATGAGGATCACAAGTTCAAGGTCAGCCTTCGAAACATAGGAAAACCCTTTCTGAAGGCAGAAGAAGAAGGGGGGAAAAAAGACGTGGTTCAACTTTAAAAAAATGAAGTCTGTTTCTAGAATTAGGTTCTAGTTTCCAGTAGAACTCATTGGTTGCGAACTGGATAAGCTAAGACTGATAGACAATTTATACTTTTTCTTATTTCTATGTTTCTTTAAGACCCCTCCATTCAGCTACTCCAGAGGCTGAAAAGGGAGAATTGCTTGAACCCAGGAGTGCAAAACCAGCCCCAGCAATACAGCAAGGCCCTATTTCAAAAAGCAAACAAAGCCAAAAACAATTCCAAATTTCAAATATCTATTAATAGGGTCACCCAAGCTCTAATGTAGGTACTACCCTGAGCTCTTCATTCCTTTCAGTCTCTTTTTTTTTTTTGCTAGTACTGGGGATTGAACCTAGGGGCACTGTAACACTGAGTTACATCCCCAGCCCATTTTTAATTCTTGAGACAGGGTCTTGCTAAATTGCAATGGCTGTCCTCAGGACCTTCCTGCCTCACCTTCCTGACTCACTGGGATTAAAAGCCTGAATCTCCAAAGCCCATTCCCAGACTTCCTTTGAATTGCATCCATACCCTGCCTTCTCTATACCCACATTAGCACAAAATCTCTTTGCTTCTCTCTTGAAATAGAATTGCCTCTTAACTGTTCTCTGATCTCTTATTTTCTCTGCACTATTGCCAGACTAACCGTCCAAAGTCTGTTTTATTCTGTCCTGAAGCAGAACCTTCTAATAGTTACTCCCTTACTTTACAGGGTGACGTCTAGCCTCATCCCCAGGTCTCCAGGGCCCTTCCACAGCTAAGAACACTTCCACTTCACCCTCTTAGAGTACACTTGCTTTATATACCGGTTGTTCTCATTTCCCACCACCTGCCCACTACCATCTGGTCCTGAATTTTCTTGAGACTTATATGCCCCTCCCCTACTTCTGACCTATCCAGATCTTACAAGGTTTTCAAATCCTCCATGAAGACACTTACAGCTCCACCATTCTGTTGACCACCTTCTTAACTGCCTGACAACATTTTTCTGTGGGTCTGGAGCTAATGTTCCATCATACACGTTTTTATGTGATTGTCCATCTCTCTGAATCCTGAGAAGGCAGGGACTGCTCCTGTACTGAGAATGCGCTGTGTGATAGTCCTGTGCTAGATGAGCAAGCATGGGAATATGCTTGTATACTCTCTTGTATACCCTGGTGTATACTCTCCCTGAGTTCAATTCCAGTGTCAGCGACAAGCCCACTGTTTTCAGGGTGGTGTGGTGGTTTGCAGAAGAGGGGCGTGAGGGGAAGTTTCCTGAGGTGACTCCTGAGCTGATGAGTCTGAGTGGGGTGGACTTGTAAGGGCATCTTGGGGCCGTAAGGCAGCAGGGCCGCTCAAGGAACCCTGGGTACGTACATATAACCATGGGAAGGTTTCACCGGACAACATGATATAAGACAAAGGCTGTGGATCATATAAGTCCTTTGTGGGTTAAGCTCAAGAAATTGATCTCTATCCTGAAGGAAGCACCTTGAAGCCTAAAATAATCATTAGTGATAGAAGATGGTCTCTGCCCCAAGGAGCTTGTAACCTCCAATACAATATTCAGTTAAGTGGAAGGCATGCTTTCTAAGTCCTCATCATTGTAGTGGTAGCAAATAATACACCCTTCATGGTGAAGTTAGGTAAGATTTGAACAGTGTATACATGATTTTATGACCTAATTTATTTTCATTTTGTTTCCACTGAAAAAAAATATATCCTTAATTGTAGATGGGAAGTGAGGAATTCTGATAGGCTTCAGGAAGGCCTTTAACCTAAGAGCATTTGAGGGGACTACCTGTGATTCTGCCATAAGCAATGCTGTGCTTCATTCATTAGGGGCCCTAACTATGCAAGAGAGGATAATTTATTGTCAAGTTATTTGATTAAAAAAAAATCAGTTAGCATTTACTAGGCATTTTTTTAAGTTATACATGGACACAACATATTTATTTTGTTTATTTATTTTTATGTGGTGCTGAGGACCAAACCCAGTGCCTCACAAGTGCATGGCAAACACTCTGCCACTGAGCCACAATCCCAGCCCCTTGCCTAGGCATTCTTTAAGAGACATTCTAGTGACTCAGTTCCTTCATCTAGGTCTCTAAATTCTATTTTGATTCCAGAGACAAAGCACCTGCCACATGACCTCAAGCCTCACAGAAAATTGTGTTTTTTTTTTCTTAAGAGAATTTTAATATTTATTTTTTAGTTCTCGGCGGACACAACATCTTTGTTTGTATGTGGTGCTGAGGATCGAACCCGGGCCGCACGCATGCCAGGTGAGTGCGCTACCGCTTAAACCACAATTTTGGGGGCTGGGGAGCCCCCAAATTGTGTTATTATATCAAAAAAATCATGGGATTCTCTGTCTTCATAGAAAATTTAAGTAAATCATTTACTTGAAAAATATTTGTGTCCCCCTTAAGACTAGAGTTGAAAAAAAATGTCATTTGGAAGTTTTTCATAGGAACCTATCCAATTTCCTCTTGAGGTCAACTTCAGGGAAAATTTCATCATCAAGCTAATCCTAGATTCAGGTCCATTATTGGGGGGGGGCGGGCCTGTGACTGAGGTTAACCGAATAGTTTTTGAAGATGGTGTGCTTCACCCTCTTCTGGATGACTCTTTTTCAAGTTTCATCTGTAGGCTTGCTCATTTTTTTTTTTTTTTTGGGGGGGGGGGGGGGAATATTGAATAAGTTTGCTATTTGGTGGTGTAAAGTTTTGGGGGGAAACTAATGGCATTTATGTCTTCACCTGCCCAAGGGCACCTGGGTTGCTGTTTTATTCTTGCAGTACCTCGCTGTTTGGGAGCACTGCTGGGCGGGTCTCCTGAAGCCCACATGCACACCCCTAGGGTTAAGGGGGGTTAAGGGGAGGGAGCCCATTGCCACACCGGGGGTGCACCATTGCACTTATTAGGCCCAATCGCGTTAGTTCCCAAGGGGATACTGTCCTCTGTCGTAGAAACGTGGTTATACGTGGTCCTTTTCCTCAATTAAAAACCTCTGGGTTGCAGTTTTAAAATGAACCCACGTAGAGATTGTCTCGGGAAAAGAAGCGCCACCGTCCCTGGGTGGGCTCGAACCACCAACCTTTCGGTTAACAGCCGAACGCGCTAGCCGATTGCGCCACAGAGACCCAGCTACCCGTGCCGCGGCGCGCTGGGTACACATTTCCGCGGCGGCGGCAGCGGCCCTCGCCATCCCGGGCGTCGCCACGCGGAGTGCGGGCGGAGGACCGCTGCGGGCCCGGGCGGAGGCCGAGCCGCGAACCGAGCCGAGCCGAGGGCGAGGCGGAGCCGCGGGGGCGCGGGAGGCTGGGCGGGGCCACGGGGCTCCTGTGGGGACAAAGCCCAGCCCGCGGCGCCGCGGCGGCCCGGACGCGGGAGTGAGCCCGGGCGCCTCCCTGCCAGCCCCGCTGCGAGCGTGGCGTGCGCTCACGGGGGACGGGACCCGCCGTGCGCTGCCTGGGGTCCCCGAGGAGAGCTGGCGACGGGTACAGGTCGCACGGACACCCTCGGCAGGTCCCGGGGGGAGAGCGCAGGGCTGGCGTGGGCCACCGGACGGAGCCGCGTCCGCCCGGCCCGACCGCGGGGCGCTCCTCGGCTTCCAGGACGTTGGTGCCCCTTCCCCTTGGGCTTTGCCCCCTCCCCCGCCACCTCTATCGAATGTAGTGACACAGACGTACTGTGCCTGTGCCCTATGCCGTTCTGTGCTTTGTACGTGAAAACAAAGTGAGCTTTCTGTGACCTCCTAAAACCAATTTGCACCCCGTTTGGGGGGGGCTCCTTGAGAAAGCACGGTTTAGGGGACATCAGGAAGGGCGACAGAGGTGCCTTCGAGTTTAAATACCACTGAGGACGTCCACTTCCCATTTCTGAATTTAACCCTTTGGAATCAGGCTGCCTGGGTGTCTGGAGGAGCGAGGTGGGGGTTTGAGAAGGGCCTCGAAGGCGCTTCCCGGCCTTTTCTTCTGACGGCGCAATCCTGAGGACTCCTTGGGACCTGTTCCTGGGGACAGTCAAGCCAGGCGTGCGGGTCCCCGGTAGCCATTCTAACTCTTGATTCTCCTCCTCCTCCTCCCTTTTCCTCCTCCTCCTCCTCCCTCTTCCTCCTCCTCCTCCTCCCCCTCCTCTCCCCCCCCCCCCCCCTCCTCATCCTCCTCCTCCATCTCCTCCTCCTCCTCCTCCCTTTCCCTCCTCCCTCCTTTTCTCATCATTTACCTTCACCTCCCACTCCTCCTCGGTACTGGGGATTGAACACTGTGCGCTTTACTTCTAGGCTGCATCCCAGGCCCTCCCCTCCCACCCCCCCTTTTTTTTTTATGAGATGGGGACTTGCTAAATTGCAGAGGCTGTCCTCAACTTGGGATCCTTCCACCTTAGCCTCCCCAGTAGCTGAGAGTCGGCGCCAACACTCCCGCTCTTTTTAACTTTTTTTTTGTATGAGGGATTGAACCCAGGGTACTTTACCACTGATCTATATCCCCAGCCCTTTTTGTTTTTACTTTATCTGTTTATTAAATTTGAGTCAGAATCTCACTGAATTGCTTAGGCCCTCGCCAAATTGTTGACGCTTGCCTAAAATTTGCGATCCTCCTGCCTCAACTTCCAGAGTAGCCGGGATTACAGACACAAGTCACCATGCCCCTTTAAACCATTTTAAAATGGATAACTCAGTGCCATTAGGTACATTCAAATTGCTTGTGACCATCACCACCATTCATTTCCAGAACCTTTTCATCTTCCCAAGCTGAAATGTCATAACGCTTTAAACTGTAACTCCCTATTTCCCCTGTAACAACATTTCTGCTACTTTCTTATTTCTACCTTTAGCTATTGTAAATAATACTCCTATGAAAATGAGTGTAGAAACTTCTGTTTGAATCTCTGTTTTCAGTTCTTTTGGGAACGTACCTTGAAGTAGAATTACTACATTGTGTAGTTTTCCACAGTGGCTGCCCCATTTCACATTCTCAACAACGGTTTGCAGGGCTCCAATTTCTCCCCGCCCTTTTTTCCTTTTTTTAGTGACCACCATCCTGATGGTGTATGGGTGTGAAATGTTCTCTCCTTGTGGCTTGGCTTTGCACTTCCCTGATACTGGGATGCTGAGAATGTTTTTTATGCTTTCTTTTGACACCGTATTCTATGAGCTTTGCTCTACTTGCTTCCTCCCACCAAGAGCCAACTCTGCTTCAGTGAGGAAAAAGCCCCACTATGGAGGCCAGCCTCTGATGAGAGGAGGAGGAGAATGGCTAAGGGGGCTTATGGATCGGGAGGGGAGAAAAGACAAAATCTTCTCAATAGGACCATTTAGCAATCCACTGTCAGTAGGTCCTTGCTGGTGTGTGCCCTTGAGGGACATTTGTGCTTATGGTACTTGTGATGGGCCAGCCAGCAAGAGCAGAATCAGTCACCTCCACCTTGGACACAATGGAACAAACAATGTTTTTCAAACTGCATTTTTAAAAATTCACTTAAAATTATGCTAATTTAATGAAATTCTGGATATATTTTCAGATTCTTCTTAAGGACTGTAGGAATATCACCAGACACCATGGTGCGTGCAGCTCTGGAGGCTTAAGATCCCAAATTCCGACTGGGATTTTGACTCAGTGGTAGAGCGCTTGCCTAGCACGTGTGAGGCATGGGTTCAATCCCAGCACCACATAAAAATAAATAAATAAGATAAAGGTATTGTGTTAAAAAAAATCCCAAGTTCAAAGTCAGCCTGGGCAAATGAGCAAGACCCTCAGTTCCTTGTTTCTAAATTAATTAATTAATTAATTAATTAATTTAAAAACGACTGGGGATGCAGCCCATTAGTAAAGCACCCTGAGTTCAATTCTCAGTATTTAACACCCCCTCCCCCCAAAAAAAGAACTGTGGAGATTTCTTATGTAATTCAATGATGAACTTCTTTTTAAAAATAATTTTAGTTGTAGATAGACATTTATTTATTTATTTTTATGTGGTGCTGAGGATCTAACCCAGGGCTTCACATATGCAAGGTGAGCACTCTACCACTGAACAACAACCCCAGCCCCATGATCTATTTTTTGGTGTTTCTTTCTTTAAAACAAACAAACAAATAAATAATCAAACAAAAAAAAACACAGTGAGATATTTCAAATGTATAAGAAATAGAAATTGATTCATTAAATTGTTTTTATTCCCTTCTTGCCAGAAACTCAATCTCAATCAATTCCAGGTCCCCTCCATGTCCTGCCCTGAAGTGGTTTCTAGGGGCTGAGACTTTGGAGGGAGGGTGACCCATCTGGTCACAGGTGCACCCAGGTTGGTGTGGAGAGAGTTTGGCTCCACTGAGGGTTGCGGTGGCCCTCCTGTGCCTCAGTGGAGGGAAAGGAATCTCATGAAGTTGGCTTTGTTGCATCAGATGTTTCTTAAAGCTATTGCTAGGAACAGTCCCCTCTGCTTATGGGACCCCAAGCTTCTCTGTTTTATCAAACCTCCCTGCACACTTTTATTCTTCTAGTCCCAGACCATGAGATATAAAAGTGGTTGTAAGATTTTAGGGACACCCATGAGGGTAGGTGGAAGGAAAAAGAGGAAATATGTATAACACACACACACACACACACACACATGCACACCACAAAATTATATAATTTTTGTCAATTAAAAAATACCCATGACTAATATAACCATAAAGGTTTAACTTCAGGAGTAAAACAAAAAGAAATAAGAAATTTCTTTTCCTCATATAGCAAAGAAGAAGAGACGATAATACTAAAATGCCACTCTGCCAGGACACTGATGAGGGGAGGCCGTTTTGCCCTTCCTGGAGAGTAGTGTGGTAACATGAACGTGAAATCATGTGTATGCCCTCTTGCCCTGGGAAATTCTCTTAGAAATTCATCCTCAGGAAATAATTGGGGATGTGATACAGTTTGAAGTATATCATCCATCACAGTCTTATTTATGATGCTGATGCATAGGAGATGACCTAAATGTTCAGTAATCGTAGATAAAATTATGGCATATTTAGAAAATAGAGTTTTAATTACGTAAAGATCAAAAATAATATTTTCAAAGAATGTCTAAAAACATAAGTTCATGATTAAATGTTAAGTAAAAAAACAGGGGGACTGGGGTTGTAGCTCAGTGGTAGTGTGCTTGCCTAGCATGTATGAGGCACTGGATTTGATCCTCAGCCCTACATAAAAATAAATAAATAAAATGAAGGTATTGTGTCCATCTGCAAGTTTTTAAAAAATTTAAAAAAGAATAGGATACAGGATCACATAATCATAAAATAATATTTTCAAAGGCTATTTAATAACACAGTCAAGACAAAATTTTAAGTTAAAAGGTAAGTTGAGAGGGGCTGGGGTGGACCTCAGTGAAATACCTGCTTTGCATGCTAGAGGCCCTGGGTGAATAACTGACGTGCAAGTGCAAGCACACACACACACACTCTCAAAGATAAGTTGGAGAACTGTGTAATTGTGATCATTCATAGCTGAATCATTCTTGCTTTGTGCTATCACTATTAGAAACACTTTACACATCTCCTCTTTGAAGCTCATCAAAACTCTTTGCGGCAGGAACCATTATTCTGATTTATAGCTGGGGGAACATGTGAAGAGAGAGCAATTTGTTCAAGGTCACAAAGCTAGTTTGTGGTAGGGCCAGGTTCAGATCCTGGGGTCAGACTCTAGAGGCCTGACTTGTGACCTTGACCACACAGTTGCTCATGTTGCATATACAGGGTGAGCCCCGATTGTGCATGCATGTGTGTGTGTGTGTGTGTGTGTGTGTGAGAGTGTGTACTATATGTGCACACATGCACACGTTCATGTGTGCACATATAGTACACACTATTTGGAAAATTATACAAAACAATGTTGATGTTCATCTCTGAATGGTTATTTGAATATTCTCTGTTATCCTTTCCCACTAGTTTCTCAAGCTTCAGAAGGAAGCTGTCCTTGAGGGGCCAGTGTTGAAAGACAGCAGCAGTTTCCCTAAATTACAGATAGAGGGTGGTAAGTGGTTATTCTCTGCACCGATCTTCCCCATCTGGGGCAGAGGAGCCTCAGCCTGTGGGGTGGTGATCTCAGAAGGTCCATGTGCACACACAGGGGTCTCAGGGTCTGCGCCAAGCACATTGTAA